GGCTGTACTAGGACCTGGCAGGCTTGGAGGGCCCTGTCCCAAGGGGCTGAGGTGGGGGGGCTTGGACGCTCCTCTGGGGTTTGGGGGTTGTCTTTTGCCTGGGGGGGGCTTTGCCATGGGAGAACAGGATCTGGGGGCTCTCTGCAGATTGAGGCACCTCTGCTGGGTAGGGAGGCTGTGCTGGGACACCACCACCACCCCAGTATTCTCCCCCAGGGAGGAGCAGCAGCAGTGGGGGACCCAGCCACCCCTTGAGCAAGCCCGCCCAAGTGCTTTGCCCCCACGTAAGTAAGTAATAACTGCAGCCTCCTGCCTGCCTCTGCAGCCCGGGGGGGTACCCGGCACCCAACCCCCCCTGCCCCTCTGGAGGAGCGGGCTCGGGCTGTGTTGTCTCTGCGGCTTTCGGCACCGACACCTTTCAGACCTCCTCTGAAAGCTCCTCACCGCTCTTCCCCGGGACAGGATGCACGCCACCACACTTTGAGATCCAAATCTTTTACGGTGCCACTTCACAGCTGGTTTAAAGTTTCTTGAGTGCGCCTGAAATGGGGCTTTCTTGGTGTGTTTTTTAATCGCTGCTTTTCGGTGCATGCCTGGAAACCGCTTTCATGGCATCTGTGGGGCTGTCAGGATCCCTTGGTGGCAGATACAGTCCCCATCCATCATCAGAAATAACCATAACAATCAGGGCTCAGAGAACGTGTCTAACGACCACTGCTTGTTCCCGCTCTTCGTTAGCTGTCAGGATCATATTAAAAATCCTCCAGTGCCTTCAAGGATGAGGACGGGACCATGATGGGGTTTGATGCTTCAAGCTGCTGGTGATTCCTGAATCGCAATTCTCCCACTGTCGTAATTATCCTTAAACACACCCAAAACCCAACAATTTGTTGTTGTTTTTTTTTTAAACCAACACCGTGTGGTTTTTTTCATATTGCTGTTGAAAGAAGACTCAGCGTTGGCTGGGAGAAGTCCACAGGCTGCGGGTTTGAGGGCCTCGCTGTCCCGTGCTTTGCACAAAAATATAATCAAAGGCCAAGGCTTCAATCAATTGAAGGCTTTTACTTGCAGCCAGGATAATTAGCACAGCATAGAAACAAGTCCTGGATGTGAACGAGCCCAGACCTCACCGAAAAGATCTTTGTTCCACCACTGGGTTCGAAGGCTTGTTGCATCCTCACTGTGTTTTACCCACCTCCAATGCTGTGGATGCGCTGGCATCTCTCCGCTGTGCTGAAGTGTGGCCGCAGGATGAGCCAATCCCAAAATCCTGCAACCTTCATCCCTATCAAATCACTCATTTAGGGGCTGTTTTTCATAATTTGGGGGATTTTTTTATTAAAGCCTCTTGTGCATCTTTTGCGTCTGTGGTCCGGATCCCTTGTGGGACACTTGCAGCAGGCTCAGCCTCTCTGGGCCAGCTCTGAAATTAATTAGAGCCCTTTTCTGCAGCAAGCTTTTTATTTCCTTTTTAATTAACATCAATGAGCTCTTTGCCAGAGCCCGTCTAGGAGCAGATCCATCTGGAGATCCACCCTTCAGCAGCTGGAGAAGCATTAGCTCCATGTGCTGCAAGGTCCTGCCTGTATTTATTCTGCCTGAATTGGCTGGCTGCCTGCCCTGCATCCTTGCCCACTGCTGGGCGAGTGGAGGAGCCTCAAGGGTGAGCAGAGTCCCCAAAATCCTCCTCCCCATTTGGGATTGCAGGAGCATCCCAGGATGCTCATGGGGCAGGGGGTTCCCATTGGGAAGGCATGGGCAGATTTACATGAGCAAGGAACAGAAATTATTTCCCTTCCACCTGCCATGCTTCCCTTTGGAAAACCCCTCGTCCCTGTAGCGGAGGGAGCTTTAAAGGTGAGATGAGAGGTTTTAAAACAAGGCTGGAGGTTTGGGAGTTAGGCAGGTGCTGGAACTGATCCACAGGGATTGGAAGGGAGTGGGAGCTCTCATTGGGATAACACTGTGTCCAGGGAATTTGTCTCAGGCTGCTCTGGCTCTTGTCTTGCTTTGGATGCAGCTGGAAAACCCAAACTCTTGCGCCTGGCCGCACGTTTATGGGGCTGGGTTTTACGGCAGGGGATGGCGGGGGCAGCAAGCCCAAGGTGACTTTGGGGAAACCCAAGGTGGGGACAATCCCCTGCAGCCACTGCTGGGACGTGGCATGTCCCCTTGTCCTGCTGCCTCCCGTTGCCCAGCACAGTGGGATTTTGGAGCCCAGGGAGTTAATCCTGTCAGGTGACTCCGATTAATTTTTCTCTAGCTGTTTGTTTTGCAAGGGACTGTGCTCCCCCCCCATGCTTGTCCAACCCTCCCAAGGGTTTTTTAATCCCGTGTTGTGTGGCAGCCAGGTAAAGGGACAATGCCAACAAACCTGCTCTATCCCAGCATCTCCAGGTTTGCACGGCCTCCATGCTGATTTTTAAGTTTGGGGGTGGGGTTTTTTTTTGAGAAACTGGTGCAGCGGAGGAGTTTTTAATCAGCATGTGGGGGTGGCTTTGTGCTGAAACTGGCTGCCTCCCCTCGAGGGAGGGGAAAGAAGAGCATCAGGAACTTTGACAGCTTTCCTTGAGCATCTCTCTCTTCTCCCGCAGGTCATCTCTGCTCTTGCCGCTCCTCCCGCTGCCCCTGGCGTTAGCCGCTTCCCCAGTCCTGCGGCAGAAAGGGGGTTAGAGCCTACGGCACCACCATGAATGAAGTGTCAGTCGTGAAGGAGGGCTGGCTGCACAAGAGAGGTGAGGGAGGCGAGCCGGGGAGCCGGCTCAGTGGCAGTGGCATACCTCCAAGGCTGGGTCACTGTAGGGAATCCAGCACTGCAGCTGCTGCTGGGAAAGGATAGCTCCGGTTTCCAGTTACCGGCAATTTTAACCTTTCCCCAGCACAAATGCAGGACGGTCTCTGCTTCCCCTTGCCCCAAAATGGCACAAGGCACCTTGGCACCGCAGGGCATCCGAAAACCCACCAATGCCTTCCTGCTTCAGCTTTCTCCTGCTCGTCGCTCAACTCAGCAGCTCTCCCAGCAATCAGCAACACCACTTAACTAGTGTTTGGTTTGTGCCACAAGCAAATCCTCCAGCAGCATCATTCTTAATTGCTTGCCGCATTGGGAAGCTGGAGGACGATCCTAACATCTCTTCGCAGACAGTCTAACCCAGTTTGCTAAGCCAGCTGCTGCAGTGGCCCTGCAGTGAGACCCCCAACCAGCCCCTTTATTTTTAGCCCTACAGGGGGAATGTTGCAGCATTGTAGCAGCTGCACACATGGGGGTTTATTTTTAGACCCATTGATGGTGGCTCTTATTTTTCCTTCCCTTGCTGAGGGCGGTTTGCAAGGGGACCAGGCATGAAAGCCATCTGCCTCCAGCCACCTTTCTCCTACTGGCAGCCCAGCTGGATCCTTGTGTCCAGCAGGTTCATGGATTCCTCCTTCTGGGCAAATATAGCTGGAGAGAGGGAAGCCAGGGCCTCTCTCTGATGCTGTTTCTTTATCCAGAGCTGCTGAGTCTGCTTTCGGTCAATTTTGGAGCTGCCAGGGGAAGCATGAAGCTTTTTTGTGCTGTGTTACCTCAGATCAAGCATGTTTCAGGCTAACCCGCTGCTCGCACCTCTCCTAAATTACACCAGCTGGCTGCTTTTTGCAGGAGCTTCTCTGAAGCAGCTCCTAGAAAACAGCCGGAAGAAAAATATCCACTTATTTTTCTGTCTATGAGGGGTCTTTCTGCCATTTAATTTTTCACCTCAGCAGTGGGACCCCCTATGAGGGGTCCTTCCCTGAAAACCCCTGCACTACCCCCTGCGCCCCCCTCTTTCTCGCAGGGGAATACATCAAAACGTGGCGACCCCGGTATTTCCTGCTGAAAAGTGATGGCTCCTTCATTGGCTACAAGGAACGGCCAGAGACATCCGACCACAGCTTACCGCCTCTGAATAACTTCTCTGTGGCAGGTATGTTGGCACATGTGGCTTCAGGGCTGTCGGTGGTTACAAGTCAGTGTTGGGCAGGGTGTCCTCATCACCGATACTGTTAGGGAAGATTTTGGGTTGAGGATATTTGATCCCAAACCATCCTCTTCCCTTTTTTTACACAGAGTGCCAGCTGATGAAGACTGAGCGGCCTCGGCCCAACACCTTTGTCATCCGATGCTTGCAGTGGACGACAGTCATTGAGAGGACTTTCCATGTGGACTCTCCTGAAGAGCGGTAGGCATGCGGGATGGCCCCTTCCTTTGGGAGTCCGGGATAAATAGCACATTGTGTTAATCCTAGCTGCAGGAGAGCCCCAAAATCTCTCAGCTGTGATTCCCATCTGCCTGCAAAGGCTGGAGGGGCAGGCGCAGCCCCCCGTGGTGATCCTCAGCACCTCCTTGTGCCACCAATCCCCTTTTTCTCCATAGTGAGGAGTGGATGCGAGCTATCCAGACAGTAGCAAACAGCTTGAAGAACCAGGAACCAGAGACGGACACAATGGATTACAAGTGCGGATCTCCTAATGACAGCACCGGTGCTGAGGAGATGGAGGTGGCTGTCAGCAAAACCCGCACCAAGGCTGTAAGTCACCCCTGGCGCAGCACCTTCTCTTGCCGCAAGCAGGATTGTGGTGGATTGGGACTGCCAAGTGATGAGGGAGGTTTATGGGATAAACCTCATCCCCATGGTGTCTGCTGTCACCAGGATAATGGCGGGTGAAATAGCTCAGAAGACCCTTTCCCATCCCGGATCCCGCTTGCCCACGCTGCAAATTCTCACCTCCATCTCCCCGTTTCTCCCCAGACCATGAATGATTTTGATTACCTGAAGCTCCTGGGAAAGGGTACTTTTGGCAAAGTCATCTTGGTGCGGGAAAAGGCCACTGGCCGCTATTACGCCATGAAGATCCTACGGAAAGAGGTCATCATTGCAAAAGTAAGTGCCAAACCCCAGTGGAGGGTGAGGAGAGCTGGCAGGGCTTAGGGGATCACAGAATCATAAAATAGTTTGGGTTGGAAGGGACTTTTAAAGGTCATGTAGTCCAAACCCCCAAATGTTGGGAGGGCTTTCAAAACATACCTCCAAAGCTGCCAAGCAATGGCCAGCTCCTGCTGTGCTCTAAATGCTGGGGGATTCCAGGAATTACCCTTATTTTAAAACCCCAGGTGTGTGTTGTAACACACAGTTGGGTGACATCGTGGGATCCACTCACTTGCCTCTCTCAGGGGATGCAGTGCAGCCACGTCCTCCTCCGGACGATCTGGCCAATGAACCCTTTGCCCCGTGGGGACAAAAGCGGGGCAGAGGTTGGCACTTGGAGCTCCCATCCCTGGGTTTTTTTCTGGGAATAGTTGGCAGCCATGAAAAATCTCTGATTTTTCAGAAACAATGGGAGATAAATGGCACTTAATTTCTCCTCCCTTTGCAGGATGAGGTGGCACACACTGTTACAGAGAGCCGGGTACTGCAGAACACCAGGCACCCCTTCCTTACTGTAAGTACGGCTGGTGGTAGTGAGGGAGCAAAGGGGCAGCACGCTGGGATGCCCAGCACACCCCAGAACAACTGTTCCCTTCCCCTTACTACCTTCTCTGGAAGCATGGAGCCCCACAGCTTCTCTAAGACCTTTTGTTCCCCCTCTTGCAGGCGCTGAAATATGCCTTTCAGACAAACGACCGGCTGTGCTTTGTCATGGAGTATGCCAACGGTGGAGAGGTGGGAGCTTAAGACCCAATGCTCTCCTCAGGGCTTGGAAGGATCTTGTCTGCATGTCAAATAGCTGTTTTCAGCTCATTGGTGGATAATTTATTCCACAGTCTCCCCTCAGCACATGTTTTGGGAGGTAGAGCACGTGGCTTTCCTCTTGCCCAAGCTTTCCTGGCACTTCGCTCGCCTGTCTCATGCTTGATATTGCAGCAAGGCCATTGCATGCATGAAACAACTGTCCAGGGCCCCCAGAGCCCTCTTCCTCATCACCTGGGGAGCTGTGGAACCACAGCACCTCCAGCTATCACTGGCTCTGTTATCTTCCAGCCTGTGCTGGTGTCCAGCTTTGTTTCTCCAACCCAACACACTTTCCTTGCAAGGGGGAACACAGCCAATGGCACAGCCCCTCTTGCAGGCAATGCACGGCAGCGTTTTTCCCCCAGCCTGTGCTGGCAGAGTGAAGGCTGTCAATATTTTGATCGCTCGAGGCGAGGAGCTTAGGACACATATGACCGCATTAGCTGCGTGCTGAGAGCGATTAACGTGAGTTTCAGTGGGTTTTTTTAAGCACTTTTTGATCAGCTGTTCTTTTTTTTTTTTCTTAAGCTGTTTTTCCACCTCTCAAGAGAACGCGTCTTCACAGAAGACCGAGCCCGTTTCTACGGTGCAGAAATAGTCTCTGCACTGGAGTACCTGCACTCCCGGGACGTGGTGTACAGGGACATTAAGGTACTAACCTGGCGACAGCAGCATCCATAAGCAGTGCCTTCACCCCATCTTAGCACCAGGGCAATTTTCATCTTTCTGGGCTGGTGTTTGGGGGTGTGGAGTCACTCCCAGCTCTCCTAAAAATCACCCTGAGGGGCCTCAAAAGGTTTCAGCTGGCAGAGCATTGCACTCAGTTGATGCGAGCCCTTTCCCCACTCTCGCTTATTGTGGGTGGCGAAGAACTGCTCTCCACCTGGTGCTGGGGATGTTTTCACACACGTTGTTGCAGGAGGGAGGATGAGAGCTCGGGTTCAGCAGAAGAGAGCATGAACTGGCCCTGTGGGGAGGTGTCACCCTCATCCCCGTCATGTGGCAATGATGGATTGAGACCCCAACCATCCGATGGAGCCTTTTGGGGAGCAGCGTCCCGCTCCCATGCTCCCAACTTCGCTCAGCTCCAAACCTTTTCTCCCACCTGTCTGTTTTCAGCTGGAAAACCTCATGCTGGACAAAGATGGCCACATCAAAATCACTGACTTTGGGCTCTGCAAGGAAGGCATCACGGATGGAGCCACCATGAAGACTTTCTGTGGCACTCCCGAGTACCTGGCTCCGGAGGTACTTAAAGCATTCCCACAGCCAGGCTTTCCTTGAAACTCTTGTGCCAAAGAGGTTTTTCTGTGGAGGCTATTCCCAAAGTCCAAGATGGCAGTGGTTCAGCGGGGGCTTTTTCCAAACACTTGGGTTGCAGGAGGGGTTGTATCTAGAATGGATTTCCCTTCTCCCTCCTTGTGTTGCTGCCTGGTTCTTTGGCCTCATCGACACCATCCTCTCCGTGTTCCCTCATGTAGGTTCTGGAGGACAACGATTACGGCCGCGCCGTGGACTGGTGGGGTCTGGGCGTCGTCATGTATGAGATGATGTGCGGTCGCCTCCCCTTCTACAACCAGGACCACGAACGTCTCTTTGAGCTGATCCTCATGGAGGAGATTCGCTTCCCTCGTACCCTCAGCCCTGAGGCCAAATCCTTGCTGGCTGGGCTGCTCAAGAAGGATCCCAAACAGAGGTGAGGGCCCACTGGGGATGGACGGGGGGAACCGCAGCACTGCTGGCAGTTCTGGACATGCCTCTCTGTGTCTGCAGGCTCGGCGGAGGTCCCAGCGATGCCAAGGAGGTGATGGAGCATCGCTTCTTCGCCCCCATCAACTGGCAGGACGTGGTTCAGAAGAAGGTAGGAAGGGAAGGGAGTACTTTGAGGGGGTGAAGGGGCAGGCAGGCACTTGGCACACTGCTGGCGAGCAAATTTCTCCTGTTCTCTATCAGCTGGTCCCGCCATTCAAGCCCCAAGTGACGTCTGAGATCGACACACGGTATTTCGATGATGAGTTCACCGCCCAATCCATCACCATCACCCCACCGGATCGCTGTGAGTGCCAGTGCTGCCAAGAAATGGGAACCCCCTTTGTCACCTATACACCTTCCTCTCATGCAACCTCGTTTTCCTGTCACCATCATGGTGGTGGGTGTCACCTGAGGGGCTGGTGGCATAGCTGTCACACCTCTATAAAAGCTCAGGGTCCCTCTTGCTGCCTTGGAGAGGTCTTGGGCAGCTTTGGTGGCATCACTGCCACAGGAGGGAGCAGGGAAACTTGTGAAGACACCAGGGAGGCTTCATCAGCCTGTCCCTCACCCTCAAACCCTTCTCTGTCCCTGGCTTTGCAGATGACAACATGGGCTCCCTGGAGAATGACCAGCGGACGCACTTCCCCCAGTTCTCCTACTCCGCCAGCATACGGGAGTAACCGGTAGCAGTGGGATTCAGCCTCCGAGGAGGAGGGTTTGGGGGTTCACTCACGGCGGGGGGGATTTTTCTTCCGTGCCTGGCAGAAGGGGGGCGGGAAGCTGTGGCTCGCCAGCGTTGTGCCGCAGCACCTTTCAGAAGCCATACCCCTACAAAGTGCTCTTGCTCCATGGCTCCCACTGGCACCAAGCCGTGCCTCCTGCCCCTAGCCTAGGACTGCTTTGATTTTTATTATTATTTTTATTTTTTAAACTCCTAGAAGTGCTCGCAGCTTTTTAAACCAACCCCCATTTCCCCACAACTGTGGCCTTGACCCCCCCTGAAGCTCAGCCAGCCCTCCACCAAGTAAAACCCATGGCTCCCGGATGGGGAGAAGCCATTTTGACAGCAGTAGGGAGGGGAAAACTCCCCCCCATGGCCAGGATCCAATGCTGGCTGCCTGGAGGAGGGGGAAACAATAGGGCAGGACCCGCCCCGAGACTGTGGGGTGCATGTCTTAGCCCCTCAAATCCTCCCACCTCTGCTTTGAACTGAACCTGCAGTGACCGAAAACCAACAGTATCCCTGGATCGGCGCCTTGGCAGAGGGGAGTACCTCGACCCTGCGGCCGGCCAGCGTGGCCCTAAGGAAAATGTGATCCTAAAAGCAATAGTTTGGCTTCTCCAGTGCCTTAAAGCCAGGAGCTGCAGTGATGCCAGGCTCAGTGACACCTGCCACATCCTCCAGCATCCTCAGTGGATGATGGTGTAGCAGAGGGACATGGCTTTTTGCCACTGCACCAGCAGCTTGGCAACCCTGGCTGCCAGTGTTGGGACTGGGTTTATTCTGGCATGCACCACTGATCCACACCCGACAGATGCTCCGTGGATGCCTTTCTGAGAAGGCCACTGTCACCAGGGCTGTTGGCTCCAGACCCTGCCGGCATGGCACAACGCCGGTGGGACCCGGCGGTTGGGGAGCATCACCTTTACCACAATGCCCGCACCAACAAGCCAGGCCAGTGACAAGCTGGACTTGCCACCCGGCGGCTCCTGGCACAGCTGACACCAGGGCCACAGTTTGGAGGTAGGAATTTGGTGCCTGGTACCGCTTCCCCGCAGGGAGGAACTGAGAAAACTTGCTGTTTCTTTCTTGGTTCCTAGTTGCCCGAATTCAGTTGAATTAATTTAAAAATACTGGAGCTGGGCGGGGGGATGAGACCCCCCTCAACAAGGTGGCAGTGGCCCGGCATCCCGGGCACAGCAGCCAGCTGGCAGCTCTCACCTGCCCTCATATTTGTACGGTACAAGCAATAAAATGGGGGGTTGTTTTTTTGTTGTTGTTCTTTTTTCTTTTTTTTTTTCTTTTTTGGACCAATTAGGATCTTGGGCTCCTCTGGGGCAGGGGCAGTGGAGGCCAAGGGCCCCAACTGCTCCCCCCAGCTCCCCAGAGGGCCCCAGGCACTGCTACAGTTGATTCCCCTGTGGCCTGAGTAGTGTTCCTGGGGGGTCCCTAAGGACCCGAATACACCTCCCTAGGACCCCCCCCATCATCCTAGTAGTGCTCCCTTGGGCTCTCGATTATGTGTCTCCGTATGTCCCCATCCATCACGTGTCCCTGGCCCCACAGCTGTCCCCATGGCAGGTGATGGCACAGGACGCAGCACTGGTCACCAAGCACTTTACTGATGGCTCCCAGCACAGCCCAGAGTCCCCAACGGGTGCGGGCTGGGAGTGACGGGTAACGGTGGGGCTCAGAACTGCAGGAACTCGGCCACGAAGGCAACCAGGATCTTGCACAGGGCTTCCATGGTGGGGGGGTGCAGGTTGTCCTCGGTGTCCTCAAGCGTGTGCCATACACGTGGGAAGGGCGTGGGGATAAGGTGCAGCACAGGGACACCTGCAGGGACACGGGTGGGACACAGTGGGAGGGCACGTCCCCTGGGGCATCAGCCCACGGGACCCCAGCTGCCCACCCTGCTTCTTGCCCTGGCCACGCAGCATGGGGACACGGGGATGGTGCACCCCGGGCCACAGGAGGACAATGTGCCCCAGGGGACAGGGGAGAGGTGGGGACGTCACCTCGCTGGAGGAAGGGGACATGGTCATCCTCGACAGGTCCTGGGGCCGGGCTGAGACGGAAGAAGGGCTGGTCCTGGGGGAGGACGTGCAGCAGCCCCAGCCGCTGCAGGCGCTGCTCTGCACCGGGGACACGGGGAGAACATGGTGGGGCAGAACCTCCTGTGATACCCCCAGCCTCCTCCTCTCTGTCCCCATCATAGCCCCTTGTCCACATCCCGTCCCTGTTTCTATCCCTGTCCCAACCCTGTGTCCCACCTCGTCCCCCATCCCCATGTCCCACCCGTGCCCTGTCCTCATCTGTGTCCCCATGTCCTATCCCATCCCACCCCCTTGTCCCCATCCCCATCCTGACCCTGTCCCCACCCCTCTGCCCCCATCCCTAAGTCCCACCGATGGCGACGAGGCGCAGGAACCAGTGGTGGGTGCGGGGGAAGTGGCTGTGGATGGCAGGGTGACGGGCGCCCAGCAGGTCCAGCAGCACCAGCAGGCTCTGGGGACACCATCATGACCATGGGGACACCAGCACAAGCACAGGGACACCACAGTGCCACTGGTCGGATGCCGTGGGACTGTCCCAGCTGAGCCAACGCCATGCCACCACCCTTGAGGACCCCCAGACCATCCCAGTTGGGTCACGGCAGTGGCAGGGACCGTCCCAGCTGGGCCAATGCCATGTCACCACACTCCAGTGCCCTCGGATCAACCCACCACCCTTGGCCATCATCCTTGGATGCCATGGGACCATCCCAGCTGGGTCACAGCCAACAGACCACCCCAGCATGGTGCCACCACCCTCAGGTGCCACCGGACCGCCCTCAAACCGCCGTGGGGCTTGATGCCACTCACCATGGTGGTGATCTGGGTGCCGTGTGGCCCGTGGGGGGTGGCAGCCATACGTGCCGCCAGGTGCCGGGCACCGTAGAGGGAGTCAGTGATGCTCCAGTCCCCGAAAGCTTCTTCCCCATCGAGGAACAGCAGCTGCAGCGTCACTTCTGCGCCCTGCTGGGACCCGGGCGTCCAGCGGGGTGGGGGACCCAGGCATGTGGGGGGGGAACCCAGGTGTCCCAGGGAGGGGGGGAACCCCAGGTGTCCTGGGTGGGGGGGGGTCAGGAGGGACCCAGGTATCCTGGGGAGTCACAGGATGGACCTGGGTGTCCTCTGGAGGGGGGGGTCAGGAGGGACCCAGATGTCTGGGGGGGGCCCAGGCATCCGGGGTTGGGGGG